AAAGCCACCGCTCCCCCGGCTGGCCCCGCTCCAGCCCGCACGGCGGAGCGAGGCAGCGGCCGGGCCGGTGGAGGTAAAGCCGAAACCATCTTGCCGAAGAGGCGATGGCGATGGGGACAGGCTAGCTTACACCCACAAACCCCCAGCGCGCTCCAGGCCTCTGCTTGCCACGGCTTACTGCTACTGCTCGGTCGCTTGGTTCCCCCCAGCCACTACCGCAGGGGGCATTTAGAGATACTGTAGTCATCGCCTGTAGCAGCATTAACTCCAAGCTCAACACCGTGAGTCACATCACCAACAGGAGACGTTTGCACAAAGCCACCCGTTTAGTCAAAGGAAGCATTATAAAAATAGTGTTTAAAAAGAAGCATAAAAGAAGGAGTTTTAGAGTGAGGAAGTGTTCTCTAGACCCTGTTCCGGCAATTATTTCCAGACAAGGTAAAAAAAAAAAAAGTGTTATTTGTTCCTCTCTTTCGGGGAAAGGGCATTTTAGAAGAGCGCTCCAAATGGCTAAAACAAAGTCACTGACACTCATTAAGGGAAAACAGCCCCTGCTTTCCCAAACACTCCAGACTCCCCCAAAGCAACTTCTGGCCTTCATTCTGGCATTCACACTGCCAAAGTGTGAATAATTCTAGGTTAGACCACAAAATTCAAACTCGGAAGCAGTGTTCTGAGTGACCACCATCAACGACTTGATCTCTAGTATCCTGTTGCTTCTACCTCATTGGCAAAGCCACAAAGTTTCCTGAAGCCTGAATTACGGTGAGACGCGGGTAGAGCAGACCTCTTCCTCCCAGGGAAAGCTCATCTCTCCGCACATCCAGCACAGGGTCCTGTTTTTCCTCCCAGTTGAAGATGGGTCCCCCTCCCCCTGCCTGGCAGTAGTCCTGTCTGTGAGGAATGCATTTTAAGAACTATTTAAACGTCCTCTGTTTAGGCCCCTATGAAACAAGGGGTGCTCAAGGGACCCCAGACTAACACCTCCCAACCCAAAGAACTGCCGCTTCAGCCAACCTCACTGCTCCTGCAGCAGATGAGGATTGAAAGAAATCAGAGGTGGAAACATCTCAAGGGTGGAGCAGTTCTTACTTGGCCACACAAGCAAGGAACCACTAGTTAAATATCATCTGACCTCAACAACAACAACAACAAAAATATCACCAAAAGCCTTTGAGGAATGAAGCCAAGGAAACCCATGAGGAGATCCAAAAGCTGGTTACAAGACTTTCTTTTCTCCTCTCAGAAAATCTGGTTTTACTTTAAAGAAAGGAGAAAGTCTTGGAATAAAGAAATGGATGTCCCAAGTCATTGAAAAGTACAACTCCTTTCAACAGCAGGACAGAAGTCCTACCACACAGGAGGGGATGAGGAGGAACATAAAACGGCTTTTCATGTAGGAACCAGCCTGTCTGGGTGTATCAAAGTTGTTACAAGTTCTCCCCAAAGAAGAACGAACTCAGTTTAGCAGCCATAGTCTGGATAAGGCTACAGAATTTATCCCAGAGAACCCTTCCAGTAGCCAAAGCTCTCATCACATCCCATTAAACCACTGCAGACTCCTTGTAAAAGCACTCACCATCACCCCCTAAAGAGAAGTACGACAGCACAATATAAGCCCTTCAGCACCTAGGAAGGGAGGAGACAGCATGACACCCAGACAGCCACCTGCGCTGCTACTTGAGTAGCCACCTCCCCGGTGTCTTCAAGTGTTTGTAATGCTACAGGAACAGCACCTGGCTCAGAGCGGGGCAACGCCACTGCAGGAGGTCAACCTCAGGGCCCAAACGCTACTCTGAAAACAAGCAGAAGTTCATCTACAAGTAATGCTTTAATCCTGACTTGCCTGCTGCCTTCTCAGGTTATTTTAAGGAGACTTCTAGCTACCCAGAGCAGGAACCCTCACGGATGCTCCTGTCAGCAGTAAGAAAATACAGCATAAGGGAACCCTGCGCTTGCCAGGGGGACCTGAAATGGACAGCCCAGCTATTTGGGGAGGTGTGAGCAGAGCTTGTACCTGGAACATGAGAGCGCTACAGCAGTATTTAGAGCAGTTCTGAGGCAGAAGTGTTTGGAGGAGGTCCAATTCTGCCTAAGAGTTCGACCCTCTGGTTCTACATCTGTGCCTACCAGCTAGCTGCCTGGCCATACGAGGTCTGACTACCGGCCTCTCTAGTGCAGGGTACCCAGGAGCTGAGACCACGAGATCACCTGGAATAGCTCAGCGATACAAGGCAGGAAGAACATCCATCCAGTGGTTAGAGCAGACAGGATGCTTCATCACACAGCTGTCCTGGTCTATCAGTTCCATGTTCCTTGGAGGAAAACTCTACCCTCTAGAAAGGATTGCAGCAGAGAGGGATACTGTTAGCCACAGGTATTAATTACAGATTGGTTTAAGTCTTCAGTTGCTCTTGCTGCACCACAGCAGCAACACCTGGCTGCACCAGTGTCACTCGAGCATCTTCTCAGGGGGCAGAGAGATTGCTTGGGATTGCCAATAAGAACATAGGTGCACGTATCAACTTGTCCTCTGGTCTCCCCACCCACGCTTGTGAGAATTACAGTAGCCTGTAAAGAACTGGCCCTTCAGTGAAGGAAATAACACTAGTAAAAAAGCTGAAGGCTGACAACATCCCTCCTGCTAGGGCGATTCTAGGCCATCAGCAGCTTAAGCAGATCTTGCAAAGATGACTGACCTTTAACAAATCAATACCCATAAATACCGAAAACTGCAGTGTCAAACAGCTATGCAGAGGTGAGCCAGCACAGCACAGAAAGAAAAGGAAAAGCACGCTGGATTAGTGTTCGCACAAGATCTTCTGCACAACCCAAGCACCTGGGTGCTGGCAGTTTCTCCCTCTGAAGATTACAGTTTCTGATCAGCTTGACACTGCTGGCAGGTTAGCAGGTCTCTCCGTAGTTCATCTTAGTCGATGTTCACCTGAGCCTGCTCCACTGTATTTGAAACGCAGCAGTTTCTCTCTCAGGAGGACAAGTGTCCAGCTCAGGACTGTGACTCCAACAGGACCTGTACACAGAAAAGTGGATCAGCCCCAGCAGTCAGCTAATGACAAATGCTTGTATGCCCACTGGATTACACCAGAAAAGGACTCTTAATTGTAGGTCAGACCTGTACCATGTCTTTTCCTGACAAGAAGTACTATGAGACAGTATCAAGGTTACTGTGACCAGAGCTTATGCAGGGTAATATTATGCAAGAGCCACTGAGGCAGAAAACCCCAGTGCCGTGGCTGTATAAGCCCCTAAATGCGGCTGTCTTCATTGCACACGACTAGATGCCCATTTCTTGTATTTCAGAATCCTGACTGTAGCTGGATATGCTCCAGTTCAAAGCCAGGAAAGCAGCTTGAGGCTCCCTGCAGGAACAAGCTCCTACTCTAAGGCTGTGCATAACAAGGCTTGACTTCAAACTTCACTTCGCTCATTGATTTAAACCACCACAGTCTTGCTTTCAAGGAGACCTTGCTGATAAGGCGATTCTGGATTCAGGCAGTTTCAGTGCACAAAGCTGCTAGCTGTAATCGCGTCCTCCCATCTCAGCTTCTCAAGGTCTCTTTCCCAGGCAAAGGGGTCCAAACTGCCAGATATCAGATGACAACCACCAGAAACTGATGCAATCTTCTTCTTTGCACACCCCAGGGATGGCCAAGTGCAGACAGGAGGGAGAAAAATCCAGAAGCTGCTTGAATGGCAGGATGCGTGACTTCATTGGGAAACATTCTATTCACAGGAGGAAGATCCTTCTATACTCACCCACCGAAATCCACTGGCCTCAGCCTGTCTCTTCCCCATCAGAAGTTACTCCATGTGTTACTTCCATGATACAGGAGTCCATCCCTTCAGGGATATGCAGACAGATGGTTTCTTTCTCCCCAAACTTAAAGTCATTAAAAACGATACAAAGAACTGCTTTTGGCAGCATAGAGGCATTTGAGATTTGAAAAAATCTGGAGTACACGACCCAAGTAGATGGGAAAGTAATCAGTCCTTGAGCTAATAAATAGAGTAGAAGGATGTCTTCAAGGTGGCTAGTAGCCCAAATACAAAACCTGAAGTCCTGCAGAGACCACTAGGAGCTTTAATGCACCACACTGCATAGGAGCATCTCCTGGGATCCGCTGCCATACAGTTTCTCTGACACCTTTTGTTAGGCTCATGGACTATTTGGAATCTTGAAGTTCCTTTGCCTTCTTCAAAATCAGGTGAACATCAGAGATAGGATAATCCTATGTCAAAGAAACAAAGTGATATAAGTGACTACCTAGCCTTTCTTGTACGCATTGTTTCACTTAAGCAGGGCAAACCTTGACAATTATTATAACGTACAGCCATGTTCAGTTACTCCCCTAACAGCTAACAGTTTCCTGTTTTGTAACTGATCAAGCCTCAATACCCTTCAAGAAGGTTAGGGGTTTTTTTGGTTGGTTTTGGGTTTTTTGGTTTTGTTTTGGTTTTTTTTTTTTTTAATTACTCCAAGGGTACAGTAAGCTGGCCTGCTACAAGAGCTATCTTCGTGCCAGAAAGCCTTATCAGAGCCAGTACCTTGCACAGCCCAAAGCAGGAACTGGCAGAATCTGAGATATCCTACTGTTTAGCGCAGGCGTTTTCAACCTTGGGCTCTCACACATCTCAGAACTAAACAAAAGCCTCTGGCCAATAAATTTAACACTGTTACACAGGGTTTCACATCTTTGCTAGAAAATATTAATTGTTTTGCAAACCAAAAGATGTTAAAAACCTCCAGTCTATGACAATTTCTCTGTAGGCTAGAATGGGTGCACAAGCGAAAGACTACACTTCCAGTAACGAGCATGCTTAAGATTTTTCTGCATGCAAACATCAGAAATCCAGTACTTCTCTTCAGCCAGGCGTACCCTCACTCATACCATCACCCTCTCTCACAGTACTATTTTAAGACTCTTCAAATTGCTCCCTATGCCCACTATATTTAATTCTTACCTGTAGCAGCCTCATGTTCAAAGTGAAGTCTCCTTCTAGCAACTGATCCCGGATTAGTCTGAAAGATGGAAATTATTCCAGCTACTTTTGACTCTTTATAGAGGAACTTTGAAAACAGACTACACCGTGCCCTTATAGAGGCTTTTGAAAACACTTTTGCTACCATTGTAACAAGTGACTATAGCCTATTCACCAGATGCCTTAACACGTGCCTATAGAAGACTCCTGGATCCGCGGATTTAGGTAAAGGAGGGAAAGAGAAGAGCAGGAAGGCTACCTATGTACTTACATCAACATGGCACAACAGACGAGCAGAAGAAAATCAAAGCGCTTATCATCAGCAAAGAGGGAGTCCCAGATACGGATGACGTCTGGCAGCAGGAACTCTTGGGACAAGAGCAGCGTCAGCCAGCGGAAGGCAAAGAACTGGGGTTTGACGTTCTGTTCTTGCTGTTAGACATGCACCAGGCAAAGAATGAATACGTGCTCTCGGCCAGTTCCCTACAAGTAAGAGATGCACCCCATGTTTCCATCCCCATCTCCACCCTGATATAGCTCTAAGCTGCCAACTCATACTGCAACATCAGCAAACCCACTGCCTCCTTTGAAGACTCTCACAGTCAAGCTAGATTGAGAGAGTTTTTCAGTGCAGCCATGCTCCATGTCTACAGACAAGCCAGAAAATCCTCCTCTGTCCACAACATGGAATAAAGGAAGCTTTTCTTCCTGAAGGTGTTAGTTCCGTTAAACTTGCCACGTAATTTTAATGTTCCCATTTGAACAGCATTTTATCTGCAAAGCCACAGCCCTCCCCATCTAGCAGAGGCACTGTTTTGTCAGGATTTCCTCTCCTTCCCAGAAGCCCTGTATTTATCAAAAGGTTTACTATTCACAGAAAGAAACAAAGATGGAACAGAGTTCACACTGATGATCAGTAAAACATACTGTAAACACTTCTAGCCTGAAGCTTTCTTGTTTTCTGCTGTCAAATCCAAGGAACCATAAGTTTAATCAAGGTCAAATGAGTTCAGGATCCTGCTGATATTCTTAAGGACCAGCTGCTGCATGGCCAAGACCATTTCCTGCCAGCCAGCTGCATGGCCAAGACCATTTCCTGCCAGCCAAACAGTGAGCAGTTTCTTTTCTCCCCACTGAAGCAGCTGCCAGCCAACACTGTGAGTCATGTCACTACGCTGACAAACCATCTTTTGGATTATAAAAGAAATATATCCTGATTTTTCTAAACACAAAAAAATCTCAGTGTGATTTGGTGAAGGTTGGACTAACAAGAACAGCTTTCCCTTCCAAATTCTCCTTGGACTTTCACACCAAATGGGCTGTAAGACCTGAAGATGTTTTCAACAAAAGCTGCCTTCTACATGTTCTACAAAACCCACATGAACCCAAGGCACTCAGAGACCCCTGGATGAAGGAGAATGATAGAATTAGGCGGGCGGGATGGTCCATCTTGCTGGATTTCAGTTTACTCCTGGAATGATCTCCATGCAGTTTAAGTTAGTGCTGTCAGGGCAGCCAGTGGTGACAGAAGTGTGTGTGTGTGGAGGGGGGGGGGCTGTTTTTTGTTTTGTTCTTAAAGACAGAGACACAATTCCCGTAACCTCAAATTCCAAGGAACTCTACAGCAAAACTCATGTTTTGCCTGATGACTAGAAGAGAGTAAAGACTCCAGCTCCAACCAGGCCTCAACTCAGGTGACCAGGGATTGTGGCCAAGTCACTTTGGACTCACAGCTGGCAGCTTCGCAACAACTATTGTTTGCTTTCACGGTCAGGCAGGGGAGGAAAGCCTTGCTGTGTCAGCTCGCTCTAGGCTTACTCCAAGGAGAAGTTGTTTCAGCTCACAGATAAGAGAGCCTCTATGCCCTATAGGCAAAGCCCTTCATACACTCTTTCAACCTTTCTATTCAAGCACGGTAACAGTTTAACAAAATCGGTTGACATTTAAATGCACTATTAAGCTTCAACTCCTCGCATTCCAACAGAGGCTCAGAGAAACACCTCGCTCCTCACCAGTTTCAAATACAGCTCCACATCTTTTTCCTTCAGGGTGGAGTAGACCTTCTCCATTTTGTAGGTAATACCACACTGAGAATCATCCAGGCTCTTGATGAAGTTGTCCCGAATTTCAGCCATTAGATTGGTGAAGCAGAAAAATGTGTCTGCTTCAGCATGTTCTGGGGAAAAAAAAAAAATGATGGGGGATGATCACTGACAGAGGCACACAGACTTAGAACTGTTCTTGCTCCATAATCTGGTTGCTGTACTGGATTCAAGTAGTGGATCCCACAAGATCTTGGCTTGCTTGGTCTGGGACAAGACTGGACACTTTCTTTTTTTAAACTAGAAATGTCTACAGAGCCACTGCAAATACAGCCCCTGTGTGCAACACAAGGTCTTCATGACATCGGGTCACAAACCAGTTATCTATACCCAAGAACACCATCTGCTCTCCCCGCCATCAGCACACACCCTCGGAGCTCCCATGAAGTAGAAGCAACAGGCAAAGTACTCCCGTTCCATTCTTTTCTTACCAGGTACATATAGTGCAAGCAAACAAGAGCTTCTAAAGGGATTTTAAGTTTCACAAAGCGCAACTTAGATCCATGCAAAACAAACAGAAAACCCTCAAAAAGTCCTCACTTCCCGTGCCTTCACCACTCACAGCCCATTCAGTTTCTATCAATTTGCTGTGGTTCCCAAAACTCATCATCTCTTGCTGTATTTGTTTTTTGGCCCTGAACAGTCAAAACAGAGTTGTTTGAAGAGAGTCTTATTCCCAAGACAGTTCTTTACGCAGAGAGCACGCAGTACGACAGCCGTTACTTAGCAGCCAAAAGAATCTCTCACCTTTCCACTCGCTGTTAGGATCCGTAGCAAAGGTGTAGTAAAGAGGCCCCACGATTTCATTCATCCCCTGAACGTACGCTATGCCGGGGTTCAGCTTGGCGTAGATGAACAGGATTCGCTCTACCACTTCCCAGTGAGCTTCACAGCCGTTGGGCAGAACTTCGTACTCGCTCAGAGAATTAGAAGTCGTTTTAAGAGGGGAGCTCACCTGAAGAGCAAGGCAAGACTGGGGCTGATTCAGGATAACCAACTGGCACAGATGGTTTTGTACACATGACAAGCTTGGCTTTTAATACATAAAGCCCCCCAAAAGATTTGGACAGCTTATACCAAGCAGGCAGGTGTTCACATAAACCAAGACAAGTAACTCAGGAAGCACAAAGGCACTGAAGCCCTAGTGCTGGCTATCCCTGAAGAACGAAGCAGTCTGTAGTAACAGACAGTTCCCCCGAATCACTGCACCACCTGATCCCGTGCAGTACAAAACCACAGCAGTTCCACTTCTTCGTTAGTGGTATGAGGAAAAGTATACATCCGTTGTGGTAGCAAGCCAACGTGCTTCCCCAACAGCATGTGGCACTTCTACTGTAACGCTTATGAAAGAGGAAAGAGACAACACATTTCAGCAGCTACCCAGCTCTTTTCCTAATTGCAGATTTATGAGATTCAGTTCTGGAAGACTATATGAATTCAACTTCAGTAAATTACCCCTTCAGTGTTTTGTTCCCATACAGAAAGGCACACATCAAGCATAAAATATTCGCACCTTCCTGCAACTCCAACTTCCACCAGAAGTCAGGAAAAAATAATCCTTAAAATTAAATACACCTATAATTCCCCGCTAACTGTCAGGCACATCAACTGGTTCCACAAAGCTGTCTAGCCAACAGAATATGCAGTACCTGCTGGGGTATTTGCTTAATTCAACCACACAAGCAGAGAGACAAACAGAAAAAAATCCCGAGAACCACCCTTCCCCTTATCAGCTACGATGCCTTGCCCCATGGACAGCCCCCACCAAGATCTTACATTTGTAACCCCGCTGCGGTTTCGCGCCACCGTCTGTGACTTGAGTGTGGTCTGCTCCACCCGCTTGCGCAGCGTCTCAAACTCATTTTGGGGGTCCAGGATTAAAAGGCAGGGGTAGTCCGTTGGGCGCTGGAAGAATGCCATGTCAGGGTAGAGCCTCCTAGGATGGATACAGAAGGAAATCAGGCATAAGAAGAAGGAAGTACATGCCCCATGTTGAATGGGAGGCTCGGTTTAATATTAATCTTCGTTTTCAAAGTACAAAGTGTTAACCAAACCACTCAGGTTCAGAAGCCTGAGTCATTATGCCTCACACACCTGACATCTTTGTCTATCTGGAGGAGCACTTCATTATCCTTGAAGTAAGTATTCCATCGACTGTCTGGGTTTGGATTGAGGGGCTAAAGAAATAAACAACAGAAACAGAACAACCATGTTTCACATGTATCAAAATCCTCAGTAAATATACACTGATTTAACACTTCTGCTGCCCTTCTGTCATCTAGTACCAGCACACTCCCAGCACATCAGATTTATTTTTTTCTCTCACCAGCTACGTTTAATGTTGTTTCTCCACACAGTGTGCAGGAAGCGGATCAGAGCTTGTGAAACAAGCGAGCGTGCAGGTTCACTTAGAGACGCAGAAGCCAACATTTCCAATCCCTTTTCACCTGCCTTTTAATGACTTTGTTCCCAAATCAGCTATCCTGTCCTGCGTCAACAAGATTCCTGATTGAAGCTCCAACCGGTACAATGGAGACGGTCTTTGTACTTAGGGTAAGAGCCACCCACACAGCACTTAGGCATTGGGGTTATTAGTTACAAGTATCCCCCTCTATCTCAGCTCTGAGAAGGCTGATTAAGCACCACCCTTGTGCCCAGGAAAAAGGAAATACATATTAGTATGAACAGCCTATCCTGTATCTGACCAGTTTTCCAATATGACAAACTTAACTACCCCTCCACACACGCTTTCCTCTTTCCAGATCAAGAACCATGCAAAGTTAACAACCAACCGAGAGAAGAAAAGGGGGGGGGGAAGGGGGAGGGGAGCGCAATGTTCCAAGATATTCAGAGATCACTGTAACCTGCCAATGTGTGGAATGTTACAAACATGCTAGTTTTACAGCACCAAGGCCTCCAGAGATCACAGCGGCACAGATGACTGTACACTCACAGAGAAGTTAATGTTCAGGACAAGTCATGGAAGCAGTTGTATCACTTTACAGTTTCTTCTGATCAGTTACTTCATTCCCTCCCCCAACACATACACTCTTAACAGCACTTCCAGAGAAGGAAAAAGCCAAGGGATGCAGAAAGTAGTCAATTAAAAAAAAAAAAGCCAGCAGCAGAACTAGAAATAAGCAAGTCTCTTGCCTTCCCATGCCATAGTCCAACTTGACTCTCCTGCCTCTTTCATATCCTCTGTTCAGAGTAGCCTGCTCTGAGTCCACCCACGGACCTGACCTCCCAGGAGAGCACCTCTGTGCTAGAAGTACCTCTTGTGAGCCTCTCCCTTTCCCTAGGAGACCCGTAGCCTGGGCAGCTAGCCCCAAAGGAGGGGAGAAGGGATTTGCATAGCTGAAAACAGCTCTCTTCAGAACTATTGGTGCTTTGCCAATAATTCACACTGAAGGCTACTAGGACACAAGCACCAGGCTGGCACCTAGGAACCGTCCCTCCTGCTAGCAGGGCAAAGTTGTCTCAGTCCAAGAACAGAGCCAAGAGCAGCCCAGGGGTCCAGATTCCAGAACAACAGTTTATAGCTCTGGGGAATTTTCTGCGACACAAAGGCTTAACAGCACTTACATGATCTTCTAAGGTCACATCTTCCCTTGAAACACCCAGGTTGGCTTTGGCGATCCCAGGCTGGATAATCATTTCCTTTAAGAACTGGGAATACAGATCTCTTAAGGAAGAAAAGAGGAATTTGCAATGAAGCAGAAGATTAAGTCAACGTAAGCACACAGACTGAGTTCAAATAGATCTCTCTGTACCACGCTGCTCAGCCAGAAGGCATTTGATTTTCTCTTCAGTTGAGTTCAGCTGAAGAGGTCAATCCACCAGACCCAGGAGACAGCCTACAGAACAGTGCATTCCACACGAGAACAATTCGTTTTGTGAAGGTACTTAATTATTTAAGGAACTATTCTCCTTCTCTGCAGATATCATTAGAAATAAAGGCGCAAGTACCAATGTCCTCACCTCTGTTTCTTCAGCAAAGAGCTCCATAAGGCTTTCTCTAAAGGGAGGTAGTTCAGAAGTATCTGTACAGAAGACAGATGCACGCAAATTAGTATCTGGAGAATGAGCTATTATACCTATAAGATAAGCAAATCAAACGCAGCAGCTAGAACTGGCTCTCTGAAAATACTGGGAGCTTTCTCCAGAAAGCCTAGTACTTTGCCAAGTCAGGAATATTTCGTGGACCGGTTTTCAACACAGACCTATTTGTAGGACTGATCAACAGCAAACCTGACCGAAACGCACTCCTAGCTTAATACTGAGGGCTGTTCTCATGCAAAGAGCAGACAGCCACTTTCTGTCATCCAGAGAGATGGCTGCCCTGTGTCAGTAAATGCTACTGCGATTGTGCCAGTGCTGATCTCCACAAATTACTGTCGATTTTGAGTGGCTTTTAAGCTCTGGAATTTTTTTTTGTTTGTTTACAATTTTAAGTGCCAAAAAATGCTATGTGTATTTAAGCAACCCAAAGCATCACTCGCAAGAAACGAAAGCACCCCAAGCAAAACCCACCTTCCAGCACAGGCAGCGCAGCCCACCTTCGAAGGGAATTCCTGTGGAACATCAGGCAGAGAAATAACTACGTTAGCCCCAGTCTCCTCACCGCAGTTTACTAACATCACCACACAAACAGGCAAGGCAGCACTTTTCCTCCCCAGGGGGCAAGAAGTTTTCACAGGGACGCTACAGGGGTTACACAGGGTGCCAAACCTGCCGGTGCCTCCCAGGGGGGAGGGTGCCTGCGGCAGGCGTTGGAAGCAGAAAGCTGGGGACCGTGCAGGTGACGGGCAGGGCACAGCAGAAGCAACGAAACCCACAAGCATCTCCGGGGGGGGGGGGGGGGGGGGAGGGGGTGTGGC